ATTCCAGCCGGAGTTTCTCTCAGGCTTCTCCCCCGAGCTCCCGGTGGCGCTGCCAATAAAAACCCTGACGGGTTTCACATCCAAAAGGAGACGCGAGGGTTTCTCCTTAACCCCTCCCCTCCTATCTGGGCTAAAAAAACAAAGAAGGGAAAAGGAAAAAAAAAAAAACCAACTCAAAAAAACAAAAAAACGGCCAAAAAAGAGGAAAAAAAAAAACCAAAAAAGAGGAAAAAATGGAAAAAAAAAGAGCAAAAAAACCCTCAAAAAAGGGAGAAAAAAACCTCAAAAATGAAGAAAAAAACTCAAAAAAAAACCCAAAAAAGAGGAAAAAAAAACCCAAGAAAGAGGAAAGAAATGAAAAAAAAAAGAGGAAAAAAAACCCTCAAAAAAGGGAGAAAAAAAACTCAAAAAAGAAGAAAAAAACTCAAAAAAACCCCAAAAAAGAGGGAAAAAACCCCCAAAAATAGAAATAAAACCAAAAAAATGAGGAAAAAAAAACCCTCAAAAAAGGGAGAAAAAAAACTCAAAAAAAAGAGGAAAAAAAACCAAAAAAAAAGAGGAAAAAAAAAACCCCAAAAAGTCAAATCGCCACCATCGCCTCTGATTTATTGCCCCGCTTTTCATCTCGGGATGCTGCGAGCAGGGAAGTGTTGAAACGCCCTTGTTGCCTTTTATTTCTTTCGTGTCCCCCTCCTTTCCCTCCTCCCTCCGCAAAAAAAAAAAAAAGAAAAAGGAGAAAACTTCAAAGAAAACTCTCCCCGCTCCCAAACTTTTCCCTGTTTGGCTTCGAAGCCTCGGAACTTTTTTTCCCCTTTTGTCTCGGCCGCCTGCGAGTCGGGTTTTAAAAATTAAAATGAGAATGAAGCGGCTCCCCCGAGCCCGATGGGATGCTCTAAAAACACATCAAACACATTAAAAATAAAAAATAGGAGAACCTAAACCTCAAAACTCCGCGTTATCCTTTAATTTTTTTTAATTTTTTTTCAATTTTTTAATTTTCAATTTTTTATTTTTTTTAAATTTTTTAATTTTTTTAAATTTTTTTTAATTTTTATTAATTTTTTTAATTCTTTTAAATTTTTTTAATTTTTTAAATTTTTTTAAATTTTTTTAATTTTTTTAAATTTTTTAAATTTTTTAAAATTTTTTTAATTTTTTTATTTTTTAATTTTTTTTATTTTTTAATTTTTTTAATTTTTTTATTTTTTATTTTTTTAAAATTTTTTTAAATTTTTTTTAATTTTTTTAAATTTTTTTAAATTTTTTTTAATTAATTTTTTTTATATATATATATTTTTTTCCCCCGCGCCTCCGCCAGGCTTTGATGTGAAATAACTCTCCCCTGCCGCCCGCAATAAATTTTGAATTAAGGTGCTGTTGACTCATATTTACGGCGTTAATCGCTTCCTCTCCGGGCAAAAAATAAATCGGGAGGGGAAAGGGGAGGGAGGTTTCTTTTGGGAGCGGGACCTTCGCAGGAGATGACAGCCGAGGAGAAAGGGCTGATTGCCCAGAAATCAATGAAATTCCGCTCGCTCGAGCCACTTGAAATAGCCAATTATCCCCCAGCCCGAGCCTCCCGGGTGTTTTATCCGCCGTGTGAGGCTGCGAGGGGGGGAAAAACTTCGTTTTTAGTGAGTTTGTCAAGAAATGGGGATTTAAAAATGGGGAGGGAGGGATGTGGGGATGGGAGATGATGCTGAGAGGGGAGCGGAGCTGCTGGGCCCGGCTTCCCTCGGCGGCTCTGAGCCAAATTTTTTCTCCTGTCCCTGGGAAATTTGGGATTTTGGAGCTGGTGGGAAGCGGGGATGAGCGCTGAGGGTCTGAGGAACAATCAGGAGCTGCGGGGGGAGCGAGGATCTCCCCCAAAAAATTCTTCTTGGGGAGGTTTTTTGGAGACCCTTCCCGGCCCTGAGCCCGTCCCGGAGGAGCGGGAGAGGGGGGCTCTGACTGATGGGGCTGGGGTCCCACCCTGACTCTGGGGTCCCACCCTGGCTCTGGGGTCCTGTTCTGGGTCTGGGGTCCCCTCCCCATCCTGGATCTGGGGTCCCACCCTGGCTCTGGGGTCCTGTTCTGGGTCTGGGGTCCCCTCCCGGTTCTGGGTCTGGAGTCCTGCTCTGGGTCCGGGGTCCTGTTTTGGGTCTGGGGTCCTGTTCTGGGTCCGGGGTCCTGTTCTGGGTCTGGGGTCCCACCCTGGGTCTGGGGCCCTCTCCCGGTTCTGGGTCTGGGGTCCCCTTCTTGTTCTGGATCTGGGGTCCTGCTCTGGGTCTGGCTCCTGTTTTGGGTCTGGGGTCCTGTTCTGGGTCTGGGGTCCCCTCCTTATTCTGGATCTGGGGTCCTGCTCTGGGTCTGGCTCCTGTTTTGGGTCTGGGGTCCTGTTTTGGGTCTGGGCTCCTGTTTTGGGTCGGGGGTCCTGTTTTGGGTCTGGGCTCCTGTTTTGGGTCGGGGGTCTCCCCCAGGCTCCGGAGCTCTCCCCGCAGTTTTTGGCTCCCGGGGCTGTTCCGGGGCTCTCCCGGCTCCCCTGGGAATGTTCGGATCCCACCCGAATCATTTTGGGATCATTTTGGGGTCCGGAGCCCCCCGGAGCGCCCGGGCTCCCCTCGGGGCAGGGTCTGGGGGCCGGAGACCCCCGGCCTCGCACAAAGGGATTTATTAAACCCTCTATAAATAAAATAAATCAATTAAATAAGGCCCCGAGACTGATTAACAGAGCGGGGGGGGGGGCTCTGAGCTGGGTCCCCCCTTCAGAGACCGCATTTCTCATAGAGGAATTTAAAATTAAATATAATATAATAAATAATCAGAAATATATATTTATATACTTATATATAAATGTATATACTTATATATAAAAATATACATATCTTTAATAATAAATAAAATTATATATATTTATATACTTATATATTTTATATACTTATATATTTTTATATATTTTATGTACTTATATATATTTTTATATTTATATACTTATACATATTATATACTTATATATAAATATAAATATATTTAACAAAGAAAGATATACTTATATTTATATACTTATATATATTATATACTTGTATAAATAATATAAATATAAACATATTTAGCAAATAAAGACATATATATTTATATACTTATATATTTTTATATACTTATATATTTTTATATATTTTACGTACTTATATATATTTTTATATTTATATACTTATATATATTATATACTTATATATAAATATAAATATATTTAACAAAGAAATATATACTTTTATTTATATACTTATATATATTATATATATATTATATATATATTTATATATAATATAAATAATGTAATATAATATAATATAATTGTATAAATAATATAAATATAAACATATATAGCAAATAAAGACATATATATTTATATACTTATATATTTTTATATATTTATATATAAATATAAATATATTTAACAAATAAAGACATATATATATTTATATTTATATACTTTTATATACTTATATATACTTATATATACTTATATATACTCATATATACTTATATATACTCATATATACTTATATATATTTTTAAATACTTCTATCTATAAATAAAAATATATTTAATAAAAATAACTTTTTAAAATTAAACAAAATAAAATAAAAAAGTGGGGGGGGAATGGGGAGGGGGTCCTGCACCCACTGCGAGCCGACAACTCCAATTACCCCCAGGCTTTGACAGAGAGCGATTCCGCATTTCTGCCTCGCTCCCCGTCCCTGGATGTCCCTGAATTTTTAATGAAATCGGTCGAATTCCCCTAATTCCGCTCCACAAAGGTTTATTCTGGCAGGCAGAGCTGGATTTCCCCGGCCGGGCTGTGAGGGAAGGGAGGGGGGAGGAAAATCGCGGTGAATTCTCAGCCGAGAATCCGCTGCCAGCGTTTAATCTTTGCTCCCGTTGTCAGTTTTATTGACTCCCCGCGTGTCGGAGCTTGTAAAATATTTAAATAAAACAAAAAAAATTACCCAAAACAGCGGAAGCGCCGCCAGAGCTCCGGGTTCATCCTCTCGCCTTTCAACGCGACCGCCCGGAGAGGGTTTGGGGCAGATTCGGGCAGAATTGGGGCAGATTTGGGGCAGAATTGGGGCAGATTGGGGGAAGAATTGGGGAAGAATTGGGGCAGAATTGGGGAAGAATTGGGGCAGAATTGGGCAGTATTGGGGAAGAATCGGGGCAGAATTGGGGCAGATTTGGGGCAGAATTGGGGCAGATTTGGGGAAGAATTGGGGCAGAATTGGGGCAGAATTGGGGCCGGATTGGGGCAGATTTGGGGAAGAATTGGGGCAGAATTGGGCAGGATTGGGGCAGATTTGGGGCAGATTTGGGGCAGATTTGGGGCAGATTTGGGGAAGAATTGGGCAGAATTGGGGCAGAATTGGGCAGGATTGGGGAAGAATTGGGGAAGAATTGGGGCAGAATTGGGCAGGATTGGGGAAGAATTGGGGAAGAATTGGGGCAGATTTGGGGCAGAATTGGGGCAGGATTGGGGAAGAATTGGGGCAGAATTGGGGCAGAATTGGGGCAGATTTGGGCAGAATTGGGGCAGATTTGGGGCAGATTCGGGCAGAATTGGGGCAGATTTGGGGCAGAATTGGGGCAGATTCGGGGAAGAATTGGGGAAGAATTGGGGCAGAATTGGGGAAGAATTGGGGCAGAATTGGGCAGTATTGGGGAAGAATCGGGGCAGAATTGGGGCAGATTTGGGGCAGAATTGGGGCAGATTTGGGGAAGAATTGGGGCAGAATTGGGGCAGAATTGGGGCCGGATTGGGGCAGATTTGGGGCAGAATTGGGGCAGAATTGGGCAGGATTGGGGCAGATTTGGGGCAGATTTGGGGCAGATTTGGGCAGAATTGGGGAAGATTTGGGGAAGACTTGGAGCAGATTTGGGGCAGATTTGGGGCAGTTTGGAGAGGGCGGTGCTGCCTCCTGAGCCTCCCAGTTCTGCACGGGGGTTACACGGGGGTTACACGGGGGTTACACGGGGGTTACACGGGGGATACATGGAGATTCACGGGGTTTCCTCTGAGGATGCTCTGGGGATACTCAGGGAATACGCAGGGGATACACAGAGGATGCCAGGAGGATGCACAGGGGATACTCAGAGGATACTAGGGGGATGTGCGGGGAATACGCAGAAAATGCTCGGAGGATACTCGGAGGATGCTCGGGGGACACACGGGGGATACTCAGAGGATGCTCTGAGGACACACGGGGGATACTCAGAGGATGCTCTGAGGATACACGGAGGATACTCAGAGGATGCTCTGAGGACACACGGGGGATACTCAGAGGATAGATGGGGGATACTCAGAGGACACACGGGGGATACTCAGAGGATAGATGGGGATACTCAGAGGATACACGGGGGATACTCAGAGGATACACGGGGGATACTCAGAGGATAGATGGGGATACTCAGAGGATAGATGGGGATACTCAGAGGATACACGGGGGATACTCAGAGGATAGATGGGGGATACTCAGAGGACACACGGGGGATACTCAGAGGACACACGGGGGATACTCAGAGGATACACGGGGGATACTCAGCGGATACACGGGGGATACTCAGAGGATGCTCTCCCCCATCCGACAAGCGCTGCCCCTTTATTTCCGGCGCACCAATCCGCTCCCCGCCCGCCGCGGCGGCTCCGCTGGGATTTCCCGGCGATATTTTACACCCAGGAGCAGCTCCCGGCCGAGTTTTGCCCGTTTTGAGCCCATTTTGGGCTTTGTTTTCTCCTCCCAGCTCTGTTTTTCCCCCGAGGTGAAGCCCAGGCCGGGCTCCTGAAGAGAAATTCCGACCTCGGGGCGCTTTTTCCAACTTTGATCCCGCGCATCCTCAACCTCCCCTGGCCCATCTCCAGCCTAAAAAAATCCGCGGAAAAATTAAAATAAAATTAAAATAAAATTAAAATAAAATAAAAATTAAAATAAAATAAAATAAAATTAAAATAAAAATAAAATAAAAATACTATAAAAATAAAATAAAATAATAATAAAATAAAAATAAAATAAAATAAAATAAAAATAAAAATAAAATTAAAAAATAAAATAAAAATAAAAATAAAATAAAAATAAAATAAAAATAAAAATAAAATAAAAATAAAATAAAATAAAATAAAATAAAATAAAATAAAATAAAATAAAATAAAATAAAATAAAATAAAATAAAATAAAATAAAATAAAATAAAATAAAATAAAATAAAATAAAATAAAATAAAAAAAATAAAAATAAAAATAAAATAAAAAAAAAATAAATGTAAAAAACCCCGGGAGAGCTCAAAAAGCCCCAGAATGAGCTGATTCCCCTCTCAGGGGTTTCCAGAGGTGTGGGGGGAACCTTTTGGGGTCACCCCGGATCCTCATTGTTCCCTGAGCCCCTCTCGGATTATTAATTTCCATTAAAAAACCCGAATTCTGGGCTAAAATGGGTGAGAAAATGAGTTTTTCACCAAAAGAAAAGCGATGGTGAGGTTTCGATACCGAGCGCTCGCTCTTCCCCGAGGTTTCCACTCCAGCGAGGCGTTCCCGCTCCCCCCAAAATTTATACAAATCTCTCTTTAATTGGTAATCACAGACGCCGTAATTTAAGACCCCCAGCTATACAGCTTTCATATTAGCGGCTGATCTATGGCTGCGGAGAGGCTGAAATAATCAACTCCAGGGAGAGAGGGGTAAAAGGGGAGAGATCCTCGCTCGGAAATATCATCGCTTTGGCTCGGGGAATGAAGGGAAAGGAAAAAAAAAATAGAAAAATTTGATTTATCTGGGGCAACGCCATAAACAACACAGCTCCGGCTCCCAAACACGCGCACAATGGCAGCAGAGCCCGCCGCTGACATGTTTATTGTAATAAATCAAAGAAGAGAGGAGGGGGAAGAAAAAGGGAGGAAAAAAAAAAAAAAAATAATAAAAAGGAGCGGAGAAAAAAAAAAAAAAATCCTAAAAAAAAAATAAATTTATCAATGAAATGCCTGGATGGATATAAACACACAGCGCGAAGAGGAACGGGAGGAAATGAAGACGGCGATTTGTCACATTTTTACGACAATAACATTAATAACAAACAATAAATTTACATGGACATATAGACACGCTCGGAATTCGGGAAGCCCCTGCTACTTACAATAATCCAGCCCTCGGCGTGGCTTGGCGCTCCCCGAGAATTGTTTTATTGCAGACTCCTCTCCCTCTCTCCTCCTCTCTCTCTCTCCCCCTCTTTCTTTTTCCCTCTCGCTCTTTTCTCTCTCCCCCCCTCCTCCTTTTTTTCTTCTTTTTTTTTGTTTTTTTTTTTTTTTCCTCTTTATCTTTTTTTTTTTTTCTCTTTATCTTTTTTTTTTCTCTTTATCTTTTTTTTCCTCTTTATCTTTTTTTTTCCTCTTTATCTTTTTTTCCCTCTTTTTATCTTTTTTTTTTGGGTTTTTTCCCCCCTCTTTTTAAAGGGCGGTTGAATTTCACGTCAGGCACGGGGAGAGCGCGCCCGCGATTTTCCTGACGAATCCATATCTGTTCTGCAAGCTCTGCATTAATTATTTAATGAATCACGTGATGGGGAAGGGGGGAAGGGGGTCTCTCACTTTCAGGCTCAAAGGACCACTGTGACCTTCCACCGGAACAGAGAGTTTTTTATTTAATTTTTTTTAAATTTTTTTTTTTTATTTTTTTTTTTATTAAAAAAAAAAATGGACTTTCCAACCCAACTCCAGCACGGACCCCTCGCCCCGCGCTGCCTCTCAAAGGAACACAATTCTTTGTTAAAAACCGCGATTTTGGGTTTATTTCCCCGCTCAAAGCATTTCCTAAACCAGTCCTGGGGTTTGGTTTTGTCGGAGCTTGGCTCAGCCAAACCCCGGTTTTCCCTGGTTTCGTATTTTTTATTTTATTTTATTTTACTTTATTTTATTTTATTTTATTTTATTTTATTTTATTTTATTTTATTTTATTTTATTTTATTTTATTTTATTTTATTTATTTATTTTATTTTACTTTATTTTACTTTACTTTATTTTACTTTACTTTATTTTACATATTTGACATATTTTATTTTATATTTTATTTTATTGTATTGTATTGAACTTCATTGTATTTTATATTTTATTGTATTTCATTTTATTTTCTTTTATATTTTCATTTATATTTTCATTTATATTTTCTTTTATATTTTCTTTTATATTTTATCTTATATTTTATCTTATATTTTATATTTTATTTTATATTTTATCATATATTTTATTTTATATTTTATTTTATATTTTATCTTATATTTTATATTTTCTTTTATATTTTCTTTTATATTTTATTTTATATTTTATCTTATATTTTATTTTATATTTTATTTTATATCTTATTTTATATTTTATTTTATTGCATTACATTACATCGAACTTCATTACATTTTCTATTTTACTGCATTTCATTCTATTTTCCCCTCCACCCACGCTGAGATTCTGATCACAAATCTCACCCCGAACCTCCCGGAGCCCCAAAAAATTCCAATTCCTGCTGTGAAAATCTCAGCTCCCCTCGGCTCCCGAGGCCTCTCCCTGCTGCTCTCATTGTTCCTCGGGGTTTTATTGCGTTAAAGAGGGAGGGGAGATCCAGAGAGCAAAAAAAAAATGGGAAAAAAAATCAAATTTCGTGTCTGAGGAGAGCTGCCAAGTGCAAGAATCCCGGGAAAAAATAAAAGAGGGAGAGAGAGAAACAAAGGGAAGAGCTGGGAAAGGCCAGGGAGAGGAACAGGGGTGAAGGGATCCCCCAAAAATCAGCACCAAAAAAACCCCAAAACCTTAAAAACCTCGGGGTCACCGCCCCGGAACCCCCCCAGAGCCGGGGGGCGACAGAGACACCCCAAAACCCCAATAAATAAATATAAAATAAATCATTTATCATAATAAACCCCGGAGAGAGCTGAAATTAAACATAAAATAATTCAAAACCTTTTTAAAAAAAAGCGGATTTTTGGACTCGCTGGGCGGATTTGAAAAACCCTCGATTATTTTTGAATCGATTTTATCGAGTTCCAGCGGCTGGGAGGGATAAAAAAATCCAATTAAAAGAAGTTCCCGTGGCTGGGGGTGCTCCGAGAGGGAGGGAAAAGCGAATTTTAGGAGAACTTCAGGTCCATTCTTAAACCTCGAATCTCTCTTATTTTCATTATTTTCCCCTCTTTTTTCCCCTTTTTTTTTTTATTTTCTCATAAAACTCGTGCGAACGGGTAAATCCATTAAAAAATAAAAAATAACAACCAAAAAAAAAACCCCAAAAACGGGAATAAATCCATCCTAGGAGCAAAAAACCCCCCTCCTCTGAGGGTTTTTTTTTTTGGGGTTGTTTCACCCCAGAGCAGCCTCGCTTTAAATTTTAAATTTTGTTTTTTAAATAAATAATAATAATTAAAAAAAAAAAAAAAAAAAAAAAAGCGGTTCAAAGGGGTGGGAAATAAATAAAATAAAGAGAGAGCGAGAAAAACCTCGGGCCCTGGGAGCGATCAAAGGGTTTTGTGAAGATAAAATGCGAGTTTATATAGCGAGGGGATTGATTTACAGATTTAAACACGCCGTTCTTATTGAGGATCATAAATCTGTCAGCCGAGCTGAGAAACTCCCGGAGCTGCTTTAAAAAGGACTCGGAGCCACTCCGGGACATCGCCAACCCCTCCCCGAAATCCTAAATTTGTCCCCAAATTTGTCCCCAAATCCCTCGGTCCCCCCCTGGATCAGGGCGGGAGAAGCCTGACGATAAATTGAATTTTCCTGGTTTTTTTTATGGAATCCCCGCGGTCCTGATGCCCCGCTGGAATCGGGATCCGAGTTTTTCTCACTAAAATCCGGTTTTTTCGGGAAGTTTGGGGGGTTTTGGTCCAATTTTGAGGGTTTTTGGAGGTTTTTGGTGCAATTTCGGATATTTTTGAGAGTTTTTTTGGTCCTGTTTGAGGATGTTTGGGTGATTTATTTTTGTCCAATTTTGGGCATCCTGAGGGGATTTTTTGGGTCCAATTCGGGGATTTTTGGTCCCATTTTGGGGATATTTGGGGGGATTTTTTGGTCCAGTTCGGGGATATTTGGGAGATTTTTGGTCCCATTTTGGGGATATTTGGGGGATTTTTGGTCCCATTTTGGGGATATTTGGGGGATTTTTGTCCAATTTGGGGATGTTTGGGGGATTTTTTTGGTCCAGTTTGGGGATTTTTGGTCCCATTTTGGGGATATTTGGGAGACTTTTGGTCCCATTTTGGGGATATTTGGAGGGATTTTTGTTCTAATTTGGGGATGGTTGGGGGATTTTTGGTCCAATTTGGGGATTTTTGTCCAATTTGGGAATATTTGGGGAATTTTTTTGGTCCATTTTGGGGATATTTGGAGGGATTTTTTTTCTAATTTGGGGATGTTTGGGGGATTTTTGGTCCAATTTGGGGATTTTTGTCCAGTTTGGGGGATTTTTTTGGTCCAGTTTGGGGATATTTGGAGGATTTTTGGTCCAGTTTGGGGATATTTGGGGGATTTTTTGGTCCAGTTTGGGGATATTTGGGGGTTTTTTTGCTCCAGTTTTGGGGATCTTTGGCTGATATTTTGCTCCCATTTTGGGGGGATTTTGGGAATTACCGTTTTTCCCAGTTTTTGGGTACAGATAACAAAGAACTCCAGCAGATCGGCGCTGCTGGGGGTTGGGACTCTCGGGGGATTCCCGGGAGAAGATTCCCGAGGATCCCAGCTTCCTCCTCGGGAGGAGGAGGAGGAGGAGGAGGAGGGGGAACCAGAGGGATTCTCACAAACAAAGGAAATTCTCAAAATCACCACCGAGACCATTCCAAGCCGCGGTTTCGCTGCTCTTCTCCCATTCCCCCCCTCTAAAAATTGACTTTTTTAGGACCAAACCTCCCGCGGAGCCAAATTTCCCTCCCCCAAACCAAAAACAACCCAAAACCCGAATTTTTTACCAGCGAAACGAGCGGAGAAACCCCATCAACCCATACGAAAACACAAATAAATCAATTTTTAACACCATTTTTTCTCCGTTCCCGGTGCCATTCCCGGTTTTTTTTTTGGGATAAGCCGAGTTTTGCTGGGCCGGGGGTTGAGCACAAAGTCCGGCCTAGGGGAGGTCAAGGGGTTTGGAGGTCACTCCTGGGCTGGAGACACAAAACGTGTCCTCTGGCTGACCCCTGGCCCGGCCCTGCTCAGCTCCCGCTCCCACATTATCCCGCTTTTCCCAGGGAAATTCCCGCGGTGCTGGCGGGACACGGAGGAGCCGCCCCCGGCAGATCCAGGACAGAGAAAATCCCGGGATAAAACGAGCCCGGCACGGCCTGGAATGGGGATGGTACTGGGATAAACTGGGGATGGTGATGGGGTAAACTGGGAATGGTACTGGGATTAACTGGGGATGGTACTGGGATAAACTGGGGATGGTACTGGGATAAACTGGGAATTGTACTGGGATTAACTGGGGATGGTACTGGGATAAACTGGGAATGGTCATGGGGTAAACTGGGAATGATTCTGGGGTAAACTGGGGATGGCTCTGGGATAAACTGGGGATGGTTCTGGGATAAACTGGGGATGGCTCTGGGATTAACTGGGAATGGTTCTGGGATAAACTGGGAATGGTGATGGGGTAAACTGGGAATGGTTCTGGGATAAACTGGGGATGGTACTGGGATTAACTGGGAATGGTCATGGGGTAAACTGGGAATGGCACTGGGATAAACTGGGAATGGTCATGGGGTAAACTGGGAATGGTCATGGTGTAAACTGGGAATGGTCATGGTGTAAACTGGGAATGGTCATGGGATAAACTGGGGATGGTACTGGGATTAACTGGGAATGGTACTGGGATAAACTGGGAATGGTCATGGGGTAAACTGGGAATGGTCATGGGGTAAACTGGGAATGGTTCTGGGGTAAACTGGGAATGGTACTGGGATTAACTGGCGATGGTCATGGGATAAACTGGGGATGGTACTGGGATTAACTGGGAATGGTTCTGGGATAAACTGGGGATGGTACTGGGATTAGCTGGGAATGGTTCTGGGATAAACTGGGAATGGTTCTGGGATAAACTGGGAATGGCTCTGGGGTTAACTGGGAATGGTCATGGGATAAACTGGGAATGGTCATGGGATAAACTGGGAATGGTTCTGGGATAAACTGGGAATGGTTCTGGGATAAACTGGGAATGGTCATGGGGTAAACTGGGAATGGTCATGGGGTAAACTGGGAATGGTACTGGGATAAACTGGGAATGGTCATGGGGTAAACTGGGAATGGTCATGGGGTAAACTGGGAATGGTGATGGGGTAAACTGGGAATGGCTCTGGGATAAACTGGGAATGGTCATGGGGTAAACTGGGAATGGTCCTGGGACAGATTAAAGTGGGAATGTCCCGAATTCCTGGGATGGATGAAACTGGGAATGGCTCTGGGATAAACTGGGGAATGGTTCTGGGGTAAACTGGGAATGGTCATGGGACAGATTAAACTGGGAATGGTTCTGGGATAAACTGGGAATGGTTCTGGGGTAAACTGGGAATGGTCCTGGGATAGATTAAACTGGGAATGGTCCGAATTCCTGGGACAGCTTAAAGCAGGAATGTTGGGAGCTCCTGGGGTGGCCTAAACCGGGAATGGTCCTGGGACAGGTTTAAACTGGGAATATTCCCAGTTCCCGGGACAGGTTTAAACTGGGAATATTCGGAGTTCCTGGGACAGTTTAAAGTGGGAATATTTGGAGTTCCTGGGACAGTTTAAAGCGGGAGTTTTCCTGGGACAGGCTTGAACCAAGAATGTTCCCAGTTCCTGGAGCAGCCTTAAACCAGGAATATTCGGAGTTCCTGGGAAAGCCTGAAACTGGGAATGTTCCCAGTGCCTGGGACAGTTTAAACAGGGAATATTCCCAATTTCTGGGGCAGTTTAAACAGGGAATATTCCCAGCTCCTTGGACAGTTTAAACAGGGAATATTCCCAATTTCTGGGACAGTTTAAACAGGGAATATTCCCAATTTCTGGGACAGTTTAAACAGGGAATATTCCCAATTTCTGGGACAGTTTAAACAGGGAATATTCCCAATTCCTGGGACAGTTTAAACAGGGAATATTCCCAATTTCTGGGACAGTTTAAACAGGGAATATTCCCAATTCCTGGGACAGTTTAAACAGGGAATATTCCCAATTTCTGGGACAGTTTAAACAGGGAATATTCCAAATTTCTGGGGCAGTTTAAACAGGGAATATTCCCAATTCCTGGGACAGTTTAAACAGGGAATATTCCCAATTCCCAGGACAGTTTAAACAGGGAATATTCCCAATTTCTGGGACAGTTTAAACAGGGAATATTCCCAATTTCTGGGACAGTTTTAACAGGGAATATTCTCAATTCCTGGGACAGTTTAAACAGGGAATATTCCCAATTTCTGGGACAGTTTAAACAGGGAATATTCCCAATTTCTGGGACAGTTTAAACAGGGAATATTCCCGGTTCCCAGGACAGTTTAAACAGGGAATATTCCCAATTCCTGGGACAGTTTAATCCGGGAATATTCCCAATTCCTGGGACAGTTTAAACCGGGAATATTCCCAATTTCTGGGACAATTTAAACTGGGAACATTCCCAATTTCTGGGACAGTTTAAACAGGTAATATTCCCAATTTCTGGGGCAGTTTAAACAGGGAACATTCCCAATTCCTGGGACAGTTTAATCCGGGAATATTCCCAATTTCTGGGGCAGTTTAATCCGGGAATATTCCCAATTCCCGGGACAGTTTAAACAGGGAATATTCCCAATTCCTGGGACAGTTTATACAGGAAATATTCCCAATTTCTGGGACAGTTTAATCCGGGAATATTCCCAATTCCCGGGACAGTTTAAACAGGGAATATTCCCAATTCCCGGGACAGTTTAAACAGGGAATATTCCCGGTTCCCAGGACAGTTTAATCCGGGAATATTCCCAATTCCTGGGACAGTTTAATCCGGGAATATTCCCAATTCCCAGGACAGTTTAAACAGGGAACATTCCCAATTTCTGGGACAGTTTAAACAGGGAATATTCCCAATTTCTGGGGCAGTTTAAACAGGGAACATTCCCAATTCCCAGGACAGTTTAAACAGGGAATATTCCCAATTCCCAGGACAGTTTAAACAGGGAATATTCCCAATTCCTGGGACAGTTTAAACTGGGAATATTCAAACAGGGAATATTCCCAATTCCCAGGACAGTTTAAACAGGGAATATTCCCAATTCCTGGGACAGTTTAAACTGGGAATATTCCCAATTTCTGGGACAGTTTAATCCGGGAATATTCCCAGCTCCTGGGACAGTTTAAACCGGGAATATTCCCAATTTCTGGGGCAGTTTAAACAGGGAATATTCCCAATTCCCGGGACAGTTTAAACAGGGAATATTCCCAATTTCTGGGACAGTTTAAACAGGGAATATTCCCAATTCCCAGGACAGTTTAAACAGGGAATATTCCCAATTCCCAGGACAGTTTAAACAGGGAATATTCCCAATTTTTGGGACAGTTTAAACAGGGAATATTCCCAGCTCCTTGGACAGTTTAAACAGGGAATATTCCCAATTTCTGGGACAGTTTAAACAGGGAATATTCCCAATTCCCGGGACAGTTTAAACAGGGAATATTCCCAATTCCTGGGACAGTTTAAACAGGGAATATTCCCAATTTTTGGGACAGTTTAATCCGGGAATATTCCCAATTTTTGGGACAGTTTAAACAGGGAATATTCCCAATTCCCGGGACAGTTTAAACAGGGAATATTCCCAATTTCTGGGACAGTTTAAACAGGGAATATCCCCAATTTCTGGGACAGTTTAAACAGGGAATATTCCCAATTTCTGGGACAGTTTAAACAGGGAACATTCCCAATTCCCAGGACAGTTTAAACAGGGAATATTCCCAATTTCCCAATTCCCAGGACAGTTTAAACAGGGAATATTCCCAATTTCTGGGGCAGTTTAAACAGGGAATATTCCCAATTCCCAGGATAGTTTAAACAGGGAATATTCCCAATTTCTGGGACAGTTTAAACAGGGAATATTCCCAATTTCTGGGACAATTTAATCCGGGAATATTCCCAATTCCCGGGACACCCAGCGGACTCTCCACCAACCCCTCCCCCAAACCATCCCGTGAAAGATGGTTTTTTAACTCACAAAAAATCCAGGAAAAAGCCACTTTTAAGTCCCGACCCCCCCAAATCCGCAGCCGGAGGCGTCACCCCGAGCTCCGGCAACCAAACCCCAACCACGCCCAGCCCCAAATCCGGGAGCAAATCTCAAATTAAAAACCCCCAAAATCACTACGGGCGCGCCGCGAACTTTCTAAAAAATACAACAACAAAAAAAAAAAAAATGAAAACTCCTTTTCGGAATTTCTCTCCCCGCCTTAAATATTTTTTTTTTTTTTTAACTCTTTTTTGATTGTTTTCTTTTGATTCCCACCCCAAATTTCTGGCGGAAGGAGGCACCAACCCCATCCCAAACCCATCCTTTACCTGGTTCGCTCCCAAATCCATTTTTTTTTTTCCAACGCCCTGACGCTTTGGGTGATTCCTTCCAAACTCATCCATCCCTGGCCGGGGGGTTGGGGGCAGCTCTTGAATGTTTATTTTGCTTTTTCTTCCCCTCCCTTCCCAAAAAAAATCAAAATATTTCACCTTTAGGGGCTCGTCTTTTATTCTTATTAATATTATCATTATTATTATAATGATAATTATTATTATTTTCATGATTATCATTATTATTCTGGCCCCTGAAGGTTTCTTGGAGGACTCCGGGTGCTTTTTTCCCGACAGACGGTCTGCGGAGATTTGCTGTTGAATAACAATGGGAAAAAGGGATAAGTATTTAAAGAAAAGAAGTTGATTAATGATTTTTTTTTTCTGTATAATTCTCGCATTTTTCTTGCCTTCTGTCCGCTTCTAATGGCTGTGAACTTTGAGATCCTATAGAAATCTTCTTTTCTCCCCCCTTTTTCCACCCCATTCAGCTCCCCCAGCTTTGATTCCCCTCTATAGACCCCGCATTCCTGCCAGCATATGTCTCTTCTTTTTTATTTTATTTTGTTTTGCTTTTTTTTTGGGGGTTGAAAATCTCCATTTTTGGCCGTTTTTTTTAGGAGCCTCACCCCAGTGGAAAATCGCGCTCTCTTTACCGGCGGATCAAAGGGAGGAACGGAGGAAGAAAATTCAACAGCGACCAAAACCAGTCCCAAAACTCCTGGATTTGGGGTAAAATACAACCCTGGCCACAAAGAAAATAAATAAAAAAACAGAAACTCGCAAGTTTTGGCCTCGCCACCTCCAAAACCGCCAGAATTCAACAAAAACCCGCCCAGAAATCTGATTTTTTTTAGGTTTTTTTTCCATGGAGCGTGTGACAGCGGGAATATTATTATTGTTTATTTTTAAAAGTATTTAAAAAGGGGAGAAATAAAATCTCCGGGCAGGGATTTGTTGTTGGAGGAATTTTTTTGGGTGTTTTTATTGTCACAAGGTGTGGGGGTGAGCTCCTCCTTATTCCCAGCCCTGCCTTTGTCTCGGGATAAAGAGGGGAGGGAATTTGGGATCTGCTCGGGATTTTTGGAGAATCCCGGGAATGTTGAATAAATCAGGGAATTATTTTTATTATTTTTATTATTTTTATTATTTTTATTATTTTTATTTTTATTATTTTATATTATTTTTATTTTATTATTATTATTATCATTATCATTATCATTATCATTATTTTCATTATTTTCATTATTTTCATTATTATTTTCATTATTATTTTTATTATTATTTTCATTATTATTTTCATTATTTTCATTTATATTTTTTATTTTTATTTTATTTTATTTTAATATTTTTTATTTTATTTTTATTTTCATTTTCATTTTTATTTTTATTTTATATCTACGCTTATATTTATCCTTACATTTATATTTATACCTATCTTTACACTAATATTTATATCTATATTTATACTAATACCTATATTTATACTTCCATCCCTATAAATAAATATATTTACCTAAATAAATACATTTATTTCTATTTCTAGTTATATTTACACTTAGATCTTACTCCTATTTCCATTCAATATATTTTACTCACATTTCTATTTAATGTCCTTTCACTCCTATTTCCATTTAATATCTTTAACTCATATTTAATGTGCTTTTACCCCTTAAATTTAACATATTTTTATTATTATCACCACGATTTTCCCAAAAATCCCAATTTTTCTCCCCATTCCTAACCCAAAAACCTCGATTTTTTAATATTTTTTTTTTCATCCTGAGCGTCTCCTTTTACTTTATTATTATTTTTTTTTTCCCTCGATCCTTTTCTAAGAGAAAGAAAATGAAAATTAATACAAGAGCTGCGGCTCACAAAAGGAGCCATTTGTCTTCTTGATTATCTATTTGCTTGTCAGGCTATGAGCTATGGCAGGAGCCGGCTCCTTTTGTGATCCCAAACCCCCCAAAAAACCAAAGCCAACACCCAGAAACAGCTGGGCAAAAATTAGACTCATTAACGCATTAATTACCTCGGAGGAGGAGGGATTTTCTTGAATTTTTTAGTAATTTTTTATATATTTTAAATTTTTTTTTTAATATATATATATATTTAATTTTTTAGTATTTTTTTCTTATTTTTTATATATTTTTCCTTTATTTTTTAATATATTTTTTCATTTTTTCAGTCTTTTTTTTATTATTTTTAAAATATTTTTTAAATTTTTTTTTTATTTTTTGTTTCTTTTTTTAATTTTTTAAAAAAATTTTAAAAATTTAAAAATATTTATTTACATTTTTTAACTTTTTAAATTTTTTTTTAATATTTTTTTCATTTTAACCATATTTTGAATTTTTATTTTTAATTTTTAATAATAATAATAATGATGATAATAATAATGATAATAATGATAATAATGATAATAATGATAACAATAATAACAATAATAATAACAATAATAACAATAATAACAATAATAAAATATAATAATAACAATAATAACAATAATAACAATAATAACAATAATAACAATAATAACAATAAGAATAACAATAAGAATAACAATAAGAATAACAGTAACAATAATAATAACAATAATAATAATAGTATAAAAATAATAATATAAAAATAATAATAAAAATAAAAATAAAAATAAAAATAAAAATAAAAATAAAAATAAAAATAAAAATAATAAATATAATAAATCCGAATTTTATCTCTGGAGAAATCCGAGGCAGCAAAGCGTTAATGAGCGCTCCTGTTTTGTCTGGCTTGGGGAAAAGCGAATTAATCTGAGCTTTGAACAAATAAATCAAAATATCCGAGGCTTAGCGGTACTTAAAGCTGATCTGGCCCTGCTCAAACATCTTTTGTTTTCATTAGAGGCTGTGACAGTGAAAACTGCTGCAAAAACAGCGAAATTGGGAAAAAACCCCTTCCTTTTATTGATTTTTTTTTAATTTTTATTTTTTATTTTTTTTAATATTTTGATTTTTATTTATTTATTTAATTTTTATTTATTTTTTTATTTATTTTAATTTCTAATTTCTTATTTCTTATTTCTTATTTCTTATTTCTTATTTCTTATTTCTTATTTCTTATTTCTTATTTCTTATTTCTTATTTATTTCTTATTTCTTATTTCCTATTTCCTATTCCTTACTTTTATTTTAATTCCTCATTCCATTTTTAACTTCCTTATTCCTTACTTTTATTTTAATTCCACTTCCATTTTTAACTTAAAAAAACCCCACGTTTTTAAATTTAATTTTACTTATATTCTCATTCCCAATTTTAAAGAAATCTATTTCATTTTTAATTTATTTTTAATTCTATTTTTATTCCTCACTTTAAAGGAATCCGTTTATTTATTTTTTTTTACTTAATTTTAATTCCAATTTTTCACATACTTTTTATTCATCTCTAATCTTACTTCAATTCTTAAAGAAATCCATCTTTCATTTCATTTTCTTCATATTTTAATTCTTAATTTGAAAAAAACCCCTTTAAATTTAAATATTTCCTATATTTAATTATATATATTTATATATTAATTATTGATATATTTAATTATATTTCCATTTTTAATTATAAAAATAAATAAATTTCTTTTCCCTCCCCCAACAACAAAACTCCCACCCCTCCAAAAAATACAAAAATAATCACACGGGGGCAAATCGGTGATGAAAAATTTATTTCCGATTTTTTTTGGGGGGGAATTCCAGGTAAATCCGGGATATCCCGAAGGACAAAGGGAGCGATGGAGGTGGGGGAGGGGCGGATGGAGGCAAACCCCTCCCCCCACCCCCTAAATTCACATTTTCAGCCCCAAAT